GATTATTAAAGAATTCACTTCTAAGAATCAAATGTTTATATTAATATAATAGAAATCACTACTAATATAAAAATGTCCCTATTCTAAAAAATTACCTTCTAGTTTTAATTAAATAAACTAATTTTTGAATGATCAAGATAAAAATAAATTAAAATTTATCTAAAAATAACACATGTACATTGCAAAAAAAATATAAAAATATTTAAATTGAATTTCAAACAATAATATATATATCTATATTCAAAAAAAATATAAGTTATGCAGAATAGTAAGAATTGTATTAATGTAATATGAATCTACCTATTGAATTTGTTTATATTGAGAATAATTATTGTATTTTACATAATTTATATATATTATGTCATTGAATAATTATTGATATGTACATGTGTGTGGCAATGATAAAAAAGATTTGTAAGGAAAAGAATATACGTTCAATAAATTTTGTATAACAACAAAAATAACGTTTTACAGCTGTTAAATAAAACTGATAAATGAATTGATGAATATGATTATACTACTAATAATTAAGAAATGTTTAAAAAAACGAATTTTAAAAAATTGTACAATGCTTATGCCAAGTATTGCTGCTAACAAGCTCATTTTTGGTCGATTTTTAAATAATATTATATAAGATTCATCACTTGGCAAATAGATATCCATTTCTTTCTGCCATTTATGAACAAAATCATAAGGCATAGGAGTAAATTTTTAAATTAACATATATAAAATAAATAAAATTTAATCTTATTATTTATTTTTTTCTTCTTTCTAGCAATTACACTAGATCTTATTGTATTCACAAGATTCGAACAAAAACTATGGTTAATATTACCCACGCAGATTATAAAATTGAACCAATTAATGGATAAATGAAGACCATTTCTAAACAGGTTAATGCAATAAAGAAGCATTAAAGCTTTGCTAACTTCTTACGTGATTGTAGCATTAACTAGCGCTACCTAGGCTTGCAACTGTACCAATAATGGAAATCAACGTCCTGGACCTAACCAAATACTGCATCTTTGTCAGTCTGCCAACTATCAATATATAATGAAGGATAGAGAAGCAATTTTTCCCTGCTCGTTAAGCGAGAAGCGGTTAATTTTAACATTTCTTGTGGTATAATAAATTAAGAATGAATAAGATTAGAAAAGCAGGTTATTACAGTAATGAATGTAACAAAATACGAGTCTTAGAGCCAGCGTCTACATGACAGGATTTTCACTGGATGCAAACCCCCTTCAAAAACCTTTGCCTACCCCCCTAAATAATTCACGACACCTTTGGCGGCGGTGTCTCTTTATTATTATTTTCACCTTTATAATTATATTAACACTCTTTTCAGAGAATTTATAAGGATAACTTAAATTAATCTATCTCTACTACCAACTATCGATATTTTGTGAATATAAATAATTTATTTTTTAGATAATAAATTCAATTAAAACCTCCATTATTTACAATGAATTAATTATTATGGCATTATGAGCTTACTGATATATCTAAACCTTTTAAATTAAAAAGGATAGCAGAAAGTTTTATTTGGAAAACAATGTGTATAATTGTTTGCAATATATAGATTTGGTCGATAATTTATTTCTAAAATAAAAGTATTAATTTTTACAGCAATAAATTTTGTTCTATTTCATCTCAAAATTTAATAGATAACCCCCCAAAAAATTTATCCTACCCCCATTAAAGCAGCCTACCTCCTCAAATAAATATTATGCAAACTGTTCCCACCCCTCCCGCTCATGTAGACGCTGCTTAAAGCCAGTGAGCTAGGTTGTTTAGGTACCAAAGTACTTCCTTTTCAAAGATAGTACTAATTTTTTAAAATGCAATAATATTATTCAAATAAAATTGGCCCAATATTTCTAAATAAGTTGAGCCTATTAAATAGCAATATTAAGAATTTTACGGCATATTTTAAACAAATATTATTTTCCTTGTGGCATGATCATTTTATTATTATAATTTCTTCCTATACAATAAGCAAAAACAAAAGTGTGAAAAAAAGATTTTATATTATATGAAAAAAGACATTCTATTTATAATTATTTTATAAATTATAATTTTATTAGATGATCCCACACATTAAAATGAAACCTAATACTTAGGTGATTTGTATAAATATTCATTTTTAGCATAACTTGTAAAAATTTTCTAATTTTTTAAAATAATGTGTATATTTATGGTTTTTTTTTGATGAGAGTAAAACAACCGAGTTAGATTCTATATTTGTGTTAGATATTATTTAGATTATCGAATACATGCATTTATAATTAATTATAGTAAAAATAATGTGGGGCGAAGCCCCTTAGAAAATTGAATATAAATTATATTAATTAATAGCCCCTTTAAAAAAGAAATACCTTTTAATATCTCTTTTTGTAAAATGATAACGAAGCATCTGTTTAGTCCGGCCATATCTACGGAATAGATTCTATTAACAACAGATATAGAATCGAACACTATGTTCAACGATAATAAAAGTTGGTGTAATATTTCTTATCACACTCCTATCTATGACCTACAAACATCACTATTAGCTTAAAATGCTGAGACAAACGAATAAATACTAATCCGAAAAGTAGGTCTTTTATGTCAGAGGAGTCCAGTCAGCATAAACATCCTAATATAACGCTCTGTATAACCGACAGTATAGACCAAGAACCTCAGATATTTGCGACACCATACCAAGACAGAGAAAGAAAGCCCTGCAAAGGGTCCACGAACTCTATTATATTCTGAGTTTTCTACATAATTGCAGATATTTCCCATATATTAAAGCTCAATGATGTTACTTTTATAAACACATTATAAGGTCTTGCAGCTAAATAAATCAGGCAATGGTGATAGGGGAAAACATATGTGCAAAAGAATTAGAGGGCTGGGAGTATAACTTTGATCACAACCAAGACATTTTTTGGTGCAGTGGATAGTAAGGATATCGCTCCAATTAACTTTCCGAAGACAAACAGCCTCTTAACGAGAGACTACAACGCTAAGCTAATTTACTATTTTTACCACCCTATACTAAATCATACTTAGAGACATCCAGGTGCAAATGAGCAAAAATGGGAATTCAAATAAATAAAAAAATACTCCATGCCCTCTCCAATTTTATTTAAGTGAGATAGCTTCTTCTTCATAACTACCTTAACAACATGAGCCCAAACGTCCTCTTGTCTTTACAATTCCTCACCCTTAATTAATCTCAATTTATTCCTTGCATGTTAATAGAGAAGTTTTTAAATTTATTTAAGACAACCATCGATATTTATGCAATAATCATATCAAACAGACATAAAATTTTATGGAATATTCTAAGAGCTTTTAGCAGCTGAATAAAGACTAGAAAAGATATTTTATATTAACCCCCCCCCCCACTCTTCCTCACGTCGAAAGCTCTCTTGTATCATAACAGACTTCTCTAAAATTTCCAAGAACTATTAAGGTACCTTTTTAAGCTTAAAATCATCCCTTTGATCGTGCAAATGTCTACAACCACAACTATCAGAATTGTCTTGGAAAAAACATTTTACTTACTTTGGCTAATATCGAAAAGTGCGCAATTTTATTCAAGAAGTCTTCGTATGTGAGGCTGCTAATATAAAAAAGAGTCAAATCAGATAATATATACATATTTTATATTTTCTTATCATGATAAGTTAATGTATTCAAAATAACTATATCTATAATATTTTCATTTACAGTAATGGGAGTATCAACCTCACAGCCATCTATAGCATATATAAAAATACCCTGTATTATAGAAATAAGATATCAACTTTAGTAAGAAAACTTAATAGTTTATCATTCTACATTATCTAAACACAAATGAATTGCAATATAAGAACCTTGTAAATAGGAATTTTAAGGACGCCAAATTTAATTTCTTAATTATAATTTTTAAAAAGTATATATATTACATAAATTATGCTTTACATGAGCTAATTTTCGTCATTTATTACTTTAGTATTTGCATAAATTATGCTTAACATTAGCTGATTTTCATCATTTATTACTTTAATATTTGCATAAACATTACCTATTTTGTACTAAACTTCTGATTCACTTATTCCATTTTAAAAATGACAAAGTAATTTGTTATTTTATGTTTTAAAAACATTTTTTTTTACTAAATAGAGTGACTTTTTTTAAAGGACCGATAAATTTATTTTCAACCCAGGCCACCAAGAGTCACCGAACCTCAATTTACTTAGTCAAATTATCTCCACTAACAAACTCATCAGTAGTATTGTTATATTTCTCGATTTTAACTGATTTTTTAAAAACAGCCTTAATATTTTTGCCAGAAAAATATAGATTAAACCTCCCCTTGTGCCATCTATGTCCAAAATCTTCAGGCTGGCGTATATATTTATGGATAAAATATTGAGTTAGCCGTTTTTATAAATCGGCTCAAAATCGAGCAGTTCAAACAACGCTACTCATCGGTAACCATATAAGTCATAAATAAATTCTTCCTTCATGTTTGTTTTACCTTTAAATAAACGTTAACGTTTATTTATGGTGTTCATTTCATGCATTTATTTATTATTGTGATATAAATCATGTTTTTTTTTTAAGAATACCGAAACATTTTTAATGATTAAAGTTTCATTTATCTTTTATTTAGTTCGAATATTGGCCTATATATTTTTTTTTGTCGTAAAAAAAATTATTCGTGTATAAAAATCTTAAAATGAAATAACGGTAAAAGCTATTATATTGCGGTATTAAAAATGATATGGATGGTTATAGGTAGGATTATAGGATAACCAATAATAATGTCCATCTTTTATTTTTAAAGCAAAGCATTAGGATCATTTTAGAAACTTGATATCAAATGAATAAACAGTATTTTTTTTTTTTAAATAATGAAAACATTTTAATTGACTTATTTATCAATATTTAATTTTAAACAACAAACATAACCATTGTTTATTTACTATTATTATATATATAACTTATAAAACAATTTATTTCCTTTAGGCGCCCAAATTTAAGAGCTCCTGGCCCTTTTTTCTTTTCTTATCCACTTCCAGGTCCCTATTTTTAACCAGTATAAGTTTGGGATATCGTTTGTTGTAATCGCTGTATCTGGAATAATAAGTTGCGGGATCTATTAAGTATCGCTTGCCACCATTATCGCTATAATGCTTATCATTAATCTTATCATCACGATTTGACTGATCGATTTTACCATATTCACCACTTACAGGCTTAAGGTTATCTTTTCCCTTGTCCCTATATGCCCTATTGTTGCCATAATCACCTATTTTTCTAGGAGTCAGCTCTGGATCTATATTGTAAGCATGTTTTCGCTTAACTTGATAAAATAAATATGCGAAACTATTTTTTTATCTTTTTATAGTTTGGGTAGAAATTGATTATTCGATTATTTTTTTTAAATATTAATTTAGGAATCTTTCCTTAATTTATTTCAATAATAAAAATATAATTCAAAAAATTTGTATATTAAAACCTTATATGGGAGACTAATTGATTAGTGTCAATGATCTTGAAATTTGGTTTATTCTAGAGAGATTTTATAAGAGTAAAATTTTTTTTTTTATTAACCGTTATATTGGTCCGTTTCTCCGCCCCTTGAATCGGGAAGGGTATGAGTAGTGCCCTTATAACTTCTACGGGAATCAATTTCGAGGTGGCGAGAATTTCCATCATGATGAGCAATGTCTTTCTGCTGATTTTCATTTTTTTTACCATTATAATAGTTTACTTGAGAGTGATCATGAAGGTCGGGATGATAGGAATGAGTATCTTGATGACTATATTTACCTTTTCTAATCCCTTTCTTTTCCCCTTTAGCTATCCCCTTGGATGCGTGTTTGATAAAGTTGTATTTGCCTATCTTCTCTTTGACCAACTTATTTTCCTTCAGGGTCTTCTGGAACTTCTCTCGAAAGTAATCTCTATCAATATGATTTTCATCGTTGTCATTATCATTATCATAAACTATATCGCCGTAACCCTTATCCGATAGCTCTCCATATTTGTCGCCATCATATCCCTCAAGGTAATTATGATGAATTGGCCTTCCATGGCCTCTTTCATTTTTCTCATAGTCATTCTCATATTTGGGATAACCCCATTTACCTTTTCCTCTTGATTTGTGAGAGGCATAATGAGAACTTGGATCATAATCTATATTTAGATGCGTGTTATTACGTTATACAAACTCGATTTTATATAATTATATATCATCTCTAAACTATAAAAAGTTTTACCAAAATTTATGAAAAAAAGTGTATAATACTTCTCAATTTGTGATAGATAGTTTAGTTATCTTCTATATATATTATGTTTAAGAATCTATTTTTTTTTTCACCTATTTTTAAAGTTTATTCGTATTTATTTTTTTAAATATAATTAATTGACCCCGGGAATCATAGGGATAAGGATGTGAATCTACGTCGTGGTTGTATGAACCTTTGCTGGCATATTGAGGATTGCGAGGCCCATTATGGATATCTTTGAGGGAGTCGTATTCGTGGTGAATAAGTCCTTGCTTATTGTAAGTCGTCTCTTTTTCGTAATATTCTGTTTTTTTGTTAAATAATAAATTATTATTCTCAAAAAGCTATAAATATTCGTATTATTTATATATTAAAAAAAAATTTGTCGGGCCAGGGTTTAATTTTTTTGTTTTTTTTTCTAAATTGGGAACTTTTAGAATTTTTCTTTTTTAGTCTGCCCTTTTTTATTTTGATACTTTTTTAGGGCGCGGCCCTAAAACTTTTATTAGATATTTTGTTATTTCGATAATTTTGACTTAATTTTGCAAATTATTTTAGAAAGGGAATCAATAAAATATGTGCATTAAATGCCACCCATCATTTTCCAACTAAATAATTAGGGATTTTTCACCCAATGGGTTAGAGTTGGACGTCATAGAAATTGAAATAGATGTAGCTAGTTATAAAGACGCTCTCTTCTCTTTAATAAATTGGGGAGGGGGGGGGGTAGATAGTAGTTTTCATTCGGATTTTCCTTTTTCTTTTCTAATTTTGATTTAACCTATTTCCTTTTTTTTTAAAATCGGCCCGGCCAGGCCCGGATTTTTAATTTTTAAAAAATTTCATGACTCCCACCTACCCTTCAACTACAATTTAAATTTCCAGTTTGGCACAGGATTTTTTAAAATAATATCATTCTTCGACCCGTTCTGGGGCCGAGACAGCAAGATGCGAATTATATTTACCTTATCAATTATAATTATTCGAAAGGTAAGTGAATATATATATCATGTATAATTTTAAATTAAACATGAAATATCATCTGAAACTCTCAAAAATAAAAATAAAATATATTTGGAACATTTTAAAACAAAAACAACACTTTTAAAACATAAGGTTAACCCTCTCCTCGATTGCAACGTGATTTCAAATATTCAGTAGAGTCGATAGCCTTTACAATCATATAGGCTCTAAAATTATTTATATTTTTTTAGAAATAACCTAACTTTCCTTTAGCTAATAATTTCAAAAATTAATTTTTTTATAGGTATTTTTTTTTTTAAATTTTTGGGATTCTTCAAATTTTTTAAAAGCCCCCCCCCCCCCCTATTGTGCTAACTGCAAAATTTGTAGTAAAGTGAGAAAACTATATATTTTTCAACTCATTTTACATGCCTCTTAAGCCACAAGGTTTATTTGTGAATATAAAGATGAAATGACACTTTTGAATATACTTAAATGAAATATTATCAACTTTTATCTATAACTATACTAGATATCATTTAATTTATATATTTTATTATTATTTATAAAAAGGATCTAAAACCTTAATCTGGTGGGTTCGCACTTATTAGGGATCTCTTTGGTCTGTCCCGCTAAAAACCTTGGCTCATTTACAATATATTTTCTTGGGGCAGACCTGTCAGGAGTTTTTAAATTTTTTAAACCTTTTATAATATTTATGATATGGGATCGACTATTATAAAAAATTATTCTTGATTAGCCGGAGTTGGGCCAATCTCTCTAGCCCCCATAACAATATAAATTTCTCATAAAAAATGATTATAACCTCTTCCTTTGCCCTTTTCTTCTAGTTTTGATTTGTGTCGACTTCTATAAGCAGCTCTTTCTTCTTCATTTCCATCATCTGTGTGATGATGTGGGGAGTGGTGTCTGGGCTCACTGCGCTTCTGATTATTTGCATAATGCTTCTTCACTGGTATTAAATGTCCCATTTTAGCTTGTGTTAAAAGAATATTTTATTAGTTTATATACTTTCTTATATGTGTATATAATATATAAATTTGTTAGTAATCGAAGCTAGAGCCCTCAAAACCAATTATTAAAATTAATGTTCATAAATATCTTATTCTAAAAAATCATATATGCACAATAGCTCACTCATATTCTATTTTGATCCTAAGTAAACTCATTTAGATAAGTGTTTTTGTTTTTAAGTTAATACACACAAAGAATAGAACTAAAATTTTAAGCCATTAAGTCTATGTCCTGATTCGTAATTTGGATACCTAATCGCTTTTTAGTACAGACTAAATAGCTTTTTTTTTAGCTAGAACATCCTATTTTGGTCTGTTTTAATTTAAGTATTTGGTGGCATTGTTATTTTTTATAGTTTTTTTTGTTTTTTGGTTATGTTATTTTCTTTCTTTTTTATTTAAAAAAATTTTCACTTGCTTTTTTTGGCAATTTAATCGATACTAAATAACTAAATAGCCAGCTATTAAGTAATAAGTCGACCAATGAGACGATCTAAATCCTATCATTTCCTTAAATTTTTTAAACTAAAGGAAAACTTATCGTGTAGACAGGATTGTATGCATCTGTTGATGTTTGCCCTACGTTGTATTTTTTTCCCCGTAATTGGCGCCGTTTAAATTTTTCAGGAAGTTTATCATCTGTACTATAAGACTCGTGATTCGATTTGGTTATTTCGATTTTTAAACGTTTTGGTGGATCTATGAGCACCGAGGTGTTATGTGACCCAAATCTATAGCCGAGCAAGTTATTCACATACTTGTTAGGATAATTGAGTTAGTTATAAAAAAATTTTAAGGATATTAATTATTTTGTTATATATATGTAAGCGTAAATGTGTTATCTTTTCAACCTTAAATATTTAAACATTATAATTTTGCTTGAAATGTATTCCAGCACGTGTAGAAAACTTATTCTATTCTATTTAGAAAATTTTACCATTAACCTTATTGAACTTATATAAATTATATTAATTTTTCCATAGATTTTTCATTATAAATTTTAAATGACTAAAATTTTAATGGCAAAATTGTCATAAGGGATCTTGCCATACATATGTGATATATGAATAGGTAAAAGGGCGAAAAATTTTTTTGGAGAACTGGATGTAAAATTTTTTTTAAAAAAAATCTTATTATATAGGTCTTATAACTGTCGGAGGCAAAACAGTGACTGATTGGTTAAATAGGATAATTCCCTAAAATCGAATAATTTGGCTTAATATACACGCGTGCCAAAGAAGATCTGTTATTCATTGTGGCATGAACAAAGTTGAGTTATGTTTCATAAAAATCCAGATGTGAGGAGAATTTATCGGTTAAAAACTAGGTTTCTAAAGTGCTTATTTTACATGCGCGTATCCAACAGATGTATCAAACAGAGACATGTTAGCATAAGTTATTTTGAAAAATACAATGGCACCTTCTAGTAATAATCATTTTTGGAAACTTTGGGAATATCTTAATAAACATTAATACAATTTATTTACTATTTTAGTTGAGAATTTTATGGTAAAAATTATATCTAAATAATTAAAAAATCAATTTTGGCCGATTTTTACTTACCCGGATGGCTGAACAAAATTATAGCTTTAGCTTCAGTTTTCTTTGAAAATATGGCGTAACTTTGAAGAAAGCAAAAATAAATTTTCTCATTCCTCAATACCTAAGGGATTTATTTTCTGAAGACTGAAACAAATTAGTCGATTTTTAACCATTGCCCAGCTACAATAAAAAGTGTATATGTCTTATTATTATTTAAACACAATATTTGTAATTATATTGCGTGGAGAATATATATTTTTTTAAATGTATATATATATATATATCGTAAAGTTACTGGGTGTGGAATATATAGAGATTCAGAATATTACAATTTTTAAATCATTCACGATTTGATCTTATAATGAAAAAAGTCCTCTTTAAGTGGAAGTATATTTCAGTTTGTATATAAAGTACCCAACCCATACTGCGAATTTCAAACAATTTATCATGAGATTTTTGTGTATTTTTTTAAAAAAAATATATATTATAACAAATGAAGGAATAGTTCCAAAAGTTCTGGGTATCCATACATCCTGGAATACATTTCCGATCAAATAAGATTTTTAATTTAAAAATGGCCAATTTGAAAGATTGGTCTATCTAAATTCTGTATACGACATATATTTTACTATATAATAAATAAATATATATTGATTACTCACTATAGTTAATATGAACCAGATCATCAACATGATTGAAGAATTCTCCATCCAATTTGTTATATTAAATATGAGATGTCCGATTTTATTTTTATTACTATAAAATATATCATAAAAACATAATTTTCTAGTTCATTTTCGTAATTTTTTTTTTTAAAAAATATATACGCTTTTGTTTATATTAAATATATATTTTTTTAAAAATAATACTTTTGAATTTTAAAAAATGTAAATACATTCAATTTTTTTCTTTATAAAAAAAAACCTTTTCTTTATTTTTACCAAAGAAGGTGTCGGAACCGAACCGAAAACCTTAATTTATCCGTTAAAATTTTCAGAACCATAAGTGAACGGTTATGATAAAACCGTTATAAATACTTTCGAACCGGTTAAATAATTGTTTTTTTAAAAATTATATTTATTTTTACATGATTGACATAAATTTAAAAATATTGCAATTAATGAGTGTTTAGGGGGTAAAAAAATTTTAAATTAAAGCAATGAATAATAAGAATAATTATTTATATTGTAGGACAAATCATGATCATTTTCGACATTGAATTGATCATCCGGATTCTTCCAGCGAATTTTTCCCAGAGTATTTGCAGCTGAGATACTTATTTCTACGATGGAAGAATTGGATGTGTTTAATATCTCACCGATGTAGCTTAGATAAAAAAAAATTTAAGAATTTAAGGGGTATAACACATGATCGAAATATTGTTCCTTTTTAAAAAAATTTAAGGGATGTGTATATCGTATCCATTTGTATATATTTAATGAGGGTCTGTGATGTATTAATCTACAGAGGAGGGTTCACTAAGTTGCGGTCTGGTCAACCAAGGAGGGATGTATTCAATGAGTTCAGATTTTGGGTTAGTGTATTTTTGATACTAAAAAATTATTTACTTCATATTATACATATTGGTTAACTCAACCAACCCTAATATATACAAAATAAATCGAACAGCCAACTAAGACTAAGGAAAGTTTTATGAAACACGACAATGATACGTTGAAAATAAATAAATTCCAAGATGAAAGGACTTAGATAAGATATGAAAAAAAAAACATAAATTTATAGTAAAATACTTAGAAATATAGGCAATAAATGATTCTATCATTATTTACACCAATAAATCCTAACTACTCTTTAAATGGAACTGATCATTGCTATTGTCTAGATAGAAGTACATCTTCTCCAGTAAAACGGGTATATACAATATATATCATGTATTAGATCTATATTTTAGCGAAAATAAGATTGTGCCTGCTTCAACTCCTTTGAGGGAAGGGTGGTAATAAATTTGCGTTTATACAATTTTATGCGTTGATAAATGAATGGATATGTTTGACGAATGAAAAATTTACAACTAAATTTAAGATTATATATCATTTTTTAAAAATTAAATTTTAAAATGCAGGTTAAGATTTTGAAAGAATCAATTTTTTTTTTATATAATAAAATATCTTAATTATAATAAAAATTAAAAAAATTTTTGAATAAATAATACATAAATACCCTAAAAAAATAGAAAGAAAGAAATTTTTGCAACTAACCTTAATTGCTCATTTTAGCCGGTTAAAAAAATCTTTTGTGAGAGTTCTTGGGAAACGCATTTTGATGGGTTCACTAAATAATTAGCCGGTTAATAGAAAATAAAAGTGAGAGATTTCGCTAGAATCATAAAATGTAAAATATACTTGTTTTAAAATTAATTTAAATTGTCGCTAATAAGCAGATCTATAATATTCTCCCTGAAAAAGCTTTTATAGCTAGTCCAACTCATCCAAAAACGTTATTTTGAGAAATTTTTATTTTTTTTTGAGTAGTAAACTTAGTTATAATACATGAATTGATTTTCATTTTAAGTCCATCTTGTATAATGTAATTATTGTTGCACAGGTAATTAAAGCGAAATAAACTATATTATTTTGTTAAAAAAATATCAACAAAAAATTATTCAAGGATATATATAAATATTATAAATCACTTGTTACATCCCTTCTACAGTTCATTTGTGTGGTAAAGACACAATTAGGGGAGGGCGTAGTTAGAAACATTTACTAAGGGTTAGGGAGGAATGTAAATATTATGTTGCTTGATTATTTAAAAAAATGGCTAACCTAACTCTCAACTTCGCCACTGACTTTAAAAAAAATGACTCGTTACTGGCTACCGACTCCCGAAAATAGAGATAGTATCCCTCCCGCTCCTTCCGTTTTTCCATCTAATTGAATAAACGGCATGCCGGTTTGACGATAAATTCGTGAAACAAAACAAATACATACCACAGATACTTTCATATATATTAAACTTAAATAATTTTAACGATTTTACGATTGTAAATACTACTTTTGATATGGCCCTTCTTATAAAAAAATACGAATGATATTTTTAAATTTTTTTTCTAAACTGAGCAGTTGGATATAACTTTAAAAATAATTTATATACAAAGAAATAATCTTTATTTTAATTAAATATTCTATGACTTTTATAACCAATCGATCGTTTACCCCATTAACTTTGTGAAAGTTCGGCAGAATTTACTTTCTAACAGGGATTCTAAAGTTTCATATACCTAATTACCACTAGAAAATAATCAAAGATTACACAATGACGGTTAACATGCATGGTGGTTGATATTTCTTAAAAGAAATTATTATTTTTCTTTTTAAAAAATGAAACTATATTATTCCTTTCATACAGAACATTTTTTTAGGGCGCTTGTCAATGATGAGACTGCAAAAATCTTGATTATCGTAATGTTTTTAATTGCAAACAAAACAGTTAATTAAAAGCTACTTATTATAATTTAAGGTAAAGTTAGACATTCATTTGAATAATTCCCTATAACATTTTTTTATTTTAAATTAAGGGGGGTACATGGTATAGGAAAATTTTTGGTTTTGCTCAAATCTAATTTAGAGTTCCTTAGCATTCATTTGCCAACCCCACCCCCCCCCTCCCTTTCCCCCTCCTACACTCCTAAAATTAAGAAAATGAAAATCTTGTGCTAACTTTAAATAAAGAATTTAGAAACAAATCTTTTCAATAATATACACGATCAGCGCAATTATAAGTTCATTCATAAAACATCAAAAAAAATATTAATAATAAAGGATCCGAAAGCAATTTTGGAGAAGATACTAGAAGTGTATTTATCAAATCCAAATATATCATAATATCAATGACACGTAATAATACCCAGACAGACGATGTATTCATTAAAAGTGTACATCAATGAAAACAGCTGAGGACACCATTTTGATTACGCATATCATTATCAAAAATTTTAAACGAGAAACCAATTTATTCCTATGCCTGACACAAACTTTATTAAAAGATTGCCCTTGATCATCGAGATAATAAGGAAGCAAGTTCTCAAATCAACAGTAGTTTTTAACATGAGAATAATTATACTCTATGGGTTACCAAAATGGCGAGCCCAGCTGATTAGCATTCAACCCACTCTTTCGGTATTATTATGAATGCATCGTCAGTCTAGGTATTATTATATATCATTACATCACATATACAATTTTGAATTCAAATGGTATTTAAAATTTTCAACAACAAAATAAAGAAGAAGAAATTTCGTAAATATTATATATAAGAAGCTACTAACGAGTTAGTTTAGTTATCAGTTATATTTGGAGGGGGCTATCGACTAATACATAGGTTATAAAAGAAAATCTAAGGGTTACTGTTGTTAAACAGCTCGACTTATCCAATATTTTAGTTATAAAATATTGGGCGAGCCTGGAGATCTTGATCATAAAATGGCAGAAAAGTTTGAAAAATCCATTAACGAAATCTAGAGGCATGCGTAAAATTATTTTGACTAAAACAAGCTAACCAACACTATCTGTAGCGAGTTACTTTAGTTCATAGAAAATGACTACGATTAAATACCCCATAAGTCAATTATAATTTTTTTTTTAAAGTCAGTCTTTTTCTTATTTTCTGTAGCTTCAATTTTTTTAAAGTCACTATGGAAATGGCTGATAGCTTAGTTAAAATTAACTATGTGTATTTATTAGTCGTAGCCATTTTATAGTTCTTCTTCCGCGTTAAATGGCGATTTCCAGGCTTGCCCGGGTTGGCCAGTTTTCCCTCTAATTTAATTGGTTATGTTTTAATTTAGTCGGCTAAGCTTAATAATTTTCCCCACCTATAGTTATCTCAGTTATAACTAGTTCTCGTTTCCTATTGTTATACGTGTGTGAAATATAAAATTTAACTATCGCAAAGCTGAAAATTGTAAAAAAAAAAATATTATAATGCCTAGATAAAATTTATATTTGACAAACTCTAAAAAAAACCAAAAGATTAAAAAATGTATTTCTATTTAAGATTTTATGTTAACTGGAATATTGTGCCAGGAGATATCAATCTAAAAAAAAAAATTTTGTTACAGTACTTTCTTTTTGCGTAACGTATCATTCCAAGCTCACGCGCAAGAACAAAGCCATATACTTAAGAAAAACAAACGATTGGGCAAAGAAAATGATGGTAAATAAGATCTTCGGCAATATATCATCTATTTATATAAAATTATCTTTACACGCTAAATTCTACCTTTCTGCGGATAGCAGATAAAAACATTTAGATTTTTGTAAACAGTTATATAAATATAAAATAAATTTTTAGCAAAATACGAAAATTATTAATATTCATACCAATATTCAAAATGAAACGAAGATTCAAAGAAGCACAAAAATCAATTTAAAAAAAAATCTAAATAAGTTTTTACTATCATTAAAATCGTATCATCTTTTAAAATACGAGACTTGATGTTGTTGTAGCTTTGATACTTTAATATTTAATTTTAATAGCGGTATAAAAAGTATTCAAACAAATATACTTGTGGTATATCTAATGATATTGACATCAAAAGGAATATGACAACTAGACCATAAAAATAACCAAATATACTCTATTTCAAAATTGTAATATAAAAATTAAAAACGTAAAAAATAGTAGTTTTTTTTAAATTTTAAGAATTTATATTATCAATAGTAAATTATATATAAAAAAAATTTAATAGTGGGGGGGGGGGTTCCAGTGTCTCTATTATACATCAAGAGATGATAATACTTGATAAGTGCAAAAAGTATTTGAATGAAACCTGAATTTTTATTATTTTTCTTCTTGGTAAATCATATAGTATATTTTTTTAAATAAATAATAAGACAAAGTATAAAAATAGAAGTTATATATACTCTGTATTAAAAAATGCCATTTTTTTTTGCCGCGTAAATATTGTATTTATAATAATAGAAGGAACAACCGCCGAAACATTTCCACTAAACTAAGGAAGATGAGTACTGGCCGAACCGGTCATATTCAGTGAAGGATATTTTGTCATGGTCGATTTGGGGATAAAGTCTGGTTCTGAAGAAGGATTTTTCATATTCCGTGCCATGTTGGTTGTAGGGTTGGAATGAACACTGGTTGTAAGCTTTCGTAAACAAATGATTGGCTTCATCTTCCATGTTGCGTAGGGGTATAACGGGCTGGATTTCTTCGTAATGAGAAGCCATATTATTTTTGGGAGACGATAAAATCATATTATTATCAGTAATTAAGTCACCGGGGAGTGTCGTAACGTTGTTATTCTTTATCTCTATAAAGATTCCATTGGAATATCTATGACAATTTTCAAAATTCAACAGGTTCGGAAGGGCTTGCATGATGAGGTTGTAACTTTTTTGAGAGTCGGCATCTATGGCGGAAGGGTTCGTTGGCACTTGAGATTCTTGCCGGTGATATTTTTCGGCAATAGCTATTTGGTTCATATTCGCTAAGTGTGCTTGAGGTGCGGGGAACCAATGGTCATCACCGAAATATTTACGAGACCAAGCACTATTCGCATTGGTATTTTTATGGTTGCTATGATTATTATCAATGTTATTGCCTTGCTTTACTGCGGATAGGTTTTCGTATGATAAGTGTCGCAAAAGAACTATTTTGTCACAAATGCTATCTCGAGGAGGTAAATCGATTCTGTTAACCGGATCACAATGATGTGGGCGAGAATCATTCACGCTAAGCGGATTCACGTTAAGCGGCTGGCAGTTTTGATTGTTGGTTTTATTGACTTTCTCAAAATCTTTATAAATATACTTGTAGAGGCTGGAATTAACTGTAAAATTTTTGTAGTACTGTGCCTTCGGTGTAGAATGACGATTGTGATAAAAGTTAGACACGTAGTGGTGATACTCTTCTTTTTTATGATTTTTTTCGCAAAAATTTGGGTTCGTGTCCGCAATTTCAATGTTAGATGGTGCGGCGGTGTCGGAGAGCGAAGTTTCTAGTGTGCTGTTATTTTGGAAATTTAGGTCATCGAGCTGTTCCAAGTGGCAGCTAAAATCTTCCTCCAATTTATTATAGAGGGGAGGAATACCCGGTGATAATATGTCCTGACCATCATCAATTAATTCATTTTCATTACGGGTTCTATAATTTATGTCTTTATGGTGGTTAAGATCTTCTCTATAGTTAAAGTGAGATTTGAATTCCAAACGAGATTTGTCATTATGTAAACTGATGGGAGCTTTTTTTCTTCCCTCGATATCTTTATTGATCAAAATGGCGGACCCGTTTCCGGTTAACGCGATCTTTTTACTACTCGTTACTCTCCCATTACCACCGCTATCATCTAATCTCCCCGTTTCACATTTCGTCACCGGACGACGTTGCTCATATATGGAAAAACCATCTTCTTTCGTATGGACAGTGCCGTTATAAATATTGTTTGATAGGAGAATTGATTTAAAAATTTTCTTCGTCGCAGCTGTTGGCCTATTCTTCAAACTATTAAAGGAATTATTGTATTTGAATAAGCATCTCTTTTTACCCTGACCCGAATCGCATCTTAAAGTTTCGTATTTACGCGTACGTGATCGATCATTAATCTTCGACAACGCGGGATTTTTACTCATCTGTATATACACATTATCTCTGGTCATTTGGTCACCATGACCATTATCATCGTATATATTATATTTGTTAACATGACCACAGTAATCATTATCATCATATTTATTATATTCGTTATTAGTAAATCCTGCCTCGCGACAGGTATCATCGTAACACATGGGGTTATTGACCACGTTTAAAGGTCGCGATGGAGGAAATAGGGCTTCGCCAAAGATTTTGGGTTGCATGATCTCTTTGTTATTCTCATCTTTCGAAGATCGATGAAGCAGAGAATCGAAAAACTTTATAGAACATGCCAGTGCGGATTCTTCTTGCAAATTTCTTAAGAAATTTACCTTTTTCCTCGGTCTCAGCCAATTTTTTGCACTTTTTAGACCATAGTTTCCTTGGGAGCCAAATAGGAATGATTGCCACAACCACTTGTCCGAGGAGTTTGTTGAGGGTACATCAGCGGTGGGTACTGAGACAGGAGGTGTGCTATTCGTTCCGCGTGATTTGCCATTGATTGAGGATTTAGGTGTCGGCATAACTCGTTTCCTATTATATAATTTAAGTCGGTTTATCAATTTATTTTTATAATACCGGGTCCTAGCTCAATAAAATTAGCTATAAATTTTTTTGCAGAATCTGCGATAGTTATTTAACGTAAATTAGTTAATTTTTACTAAATGTATCTTAAGACACGTATATTTGATAATATTAATTTCTAAATTAAACGAGAAAACTCGTAGCTAATTCCAATGAGCTAGGTAGGACGGGAGTAATAAATTAGGAGGAAAAAAAGAAGAGAAATTAAATATCACAGTATAGTTGCTAAAGGCCTAATATTGTCTAGTTAGGCAAATCTATAGGCGCCTGCCATAGAAATATGGTGAAACGTTAAGACCTGAGTCAATTAACTCTCGCTTTCTCAAAGTGTGAGATGTTTTTATATGTATATAAATTGCCCGGAGTGATTTTGGGCTAAAATTTGGAATAACCGTTTTTGGAATAGGTTAAAAGTAGATCTAGTACCCAACTATAATCAGTGTCAAGAATATTTTTAAAAATCAACATATTAGACAACATAAAAAGGCTTTAAATATTTAGAAAGAGGTGTATATATATATATATGTAATTTACCTGGGCTCCTATAAAGCGGCAGTATTTTATTTTTTAAATTTAAATTAACATTTTTTTAAAAAATGAAATAAAATTTGTATAAGACGTGTAATACGAATACAGGTTCACAAACTTTATATCGTCATTGCAAAGTATTTCAGGTCTGTGGTAGATAGAACCATTTCCTAAATAAAAAAATCAATTCAGAAAATATAAGATTTGTTACATATTATGTTAAAATAACTTATTTCCAAATTCATATTAGGTGGAAAATGATCTATCACCAAAATATACCTTATATTAATGATATACATATAAAAGATATGACGAATTTTAATTATAATATAATGATATACTTAATCTCAAATAATTTAGATTTTTAATATGATTTATTGCATATATACCATTCAATTTGTGTCCCTTTGGTTTGTTAGTTATTCCGTTCGAATGTATATCTTTACGAACACCTACGGGCCGACCGTATTGCATAGACTGGTAGCTTTCAGCACTGCTACTGTTTTCTAACATCGGCCCTCTCCCACTTTGACCAGATTTGCGCTTCCTTTCCCGTGATCTGTAAAGCATGATTATCATGATTACCAAGGTGGAAGCCAATAAGAAGAAGGATACACCGCTTATGATACCAGCTATCAATGGTTTCGTCAATTTAGGCTTGGCAGCTTGCATAATGCATTATATTTTAGTATACATTTTTTCCCCATATAATATTCATATATTAAACTATTGCGAAGATGCAAAACATCAACTAAAAATAATCTATTCCACAAAAAATATACTTATAACGATAAACTGAATGTGAGAAACAGAAGTATATCACGTAAATTATTGGGCCTCTGCATTAACTAAAAATCTTATTGGCCTTCTCCCAATAATTTAGGAGGCCCTTAGAAATTTAGTATGGGCTCTGTAGCGCTGTTTGGCGTTTCTTAGATTTCTGTTATAAGATTGAAAAAGAAATATCAAAAATATTTTATGCCATTTAACTCATTCATTAGCCATCAAAAAATATGATAATATTCAAGTTACTCTTGGTAAGCTTTTAACTTTTAACTTGGAAACTTCTAGAAGTTACAAAGAGAAGTTTCCTCAAAGAGAAACTTATAAGACGACCATAAATGAATCCTTATCCGAACGATGATTAATTATTTATTTTAAGTATTAAAAAACCTAAATTCATTATTTCTATAATATCACTAGGCTCGCTCTTAGATGTCAACGTATAACCTCTCAGTCTGAATCTGATACGATCTGGTATTTGATCACCATTTTTTGCTAGAATCTCGTGCCTGGGGATTGTTACAGCTATCAGCTGATTATCCTTGAAATTGGAGTGCACGGCTGGCTTCAATTTTAGCCAATCTTTGTCGTAATCGTCTCCGAAGCTTTATTATTAATGAAATGATGAACAATATATTAAAAATTAAATATAAAATCATAAGTTGTTATAATAATTCCAAATTTTTAAAGACAAGGAGTGGGGGTTAGTTTTTGGGTAATGATGTATAGGGTCGAAAATTGTTAATTTTTTATGTATTTTTATTATGGTTTTCGAGTGGAGTCTGTTGCTAAATCGCAAAAGTTTTGATTCAGAAATCTTAGGAAGGACCGGTTTTGCCGGAAGTTAACTAGTTATTTCCGGGCTGTGGGGTTTGATATGTAGCAAATCGGAAGGATTGCATTTGTAAGTTTAATATAATATTAAAAGTGGACCTTATTATATTTTAATAAAATTAGGTATTTCTTTGACAAATGGCGGCCGACGGTATATATATCATTATCCGTACTTATTTTTATCTCTTTTTAAGTATTTAAAAATATATATTATTTTTTTTGTTAATCTTGGCTTCCACAAATCCATCAGAGTTCAATATATTACTTATTATTCCATCTTCTTATTTATCTCCTACACATTTTTATAGTCAGTCAGAAACTCCTTCCATAACATTCATTCCTGTCTTATACTATTTCCAGTTTCAGTATCAAAAATCTCAAATCTTTACTTAATCAAATCCCCAACCAATTCTTTAGAGGTGATTCTTTTTCCTGCACCTTCTACCACCAATACATGAACTCTTTTTCCGTATAATGGGCTATCTTCTGTACCATCAACGTTTATCCGATTAGTTTAAATTCATTCCTGTCTCATACTATTTACAGCGCCAGTTTCAAAATCTCAAATCTTTCCTTAATCAAATCCCGAACCAATTCTTTATTTCTGCACCTTCTACAACCAATGCCTAAACTCTTTTTCCGTATAATGGGCTATTTTCTGTACCTTATCTGTGATCTCCATTATCCGTTAAGTTTAATCAATCACGTTATCCATGTATTGTTTATTTCAATATATAAAGAAATAAATTACTATAATAAAAAATAAAAAAATTTATCACCTGTATTCGATTATATAAAACAGCGGGTAAGAAATGTTTTTGACATTTTGCCACTCTAGAACAAAAGTATCTTTCTTCAAATATGCCCTATAAATTTTGGGAGCCTTTACTTTATCATCATCTGTCAAAAAAAACATTATAATAAAATCCAATTATTCTCAACATGCCCAGGCATAGTAAAGAATAATTATTCATCAATATATTCGTTATCATAATAAATAATATCTCTAATGTTTCTAGGGTCATAACTCATAAATGATTACAGGGCGAGGGGTGGCATGCGACATTTGAATTTCTCACCCATCCATAACATTTTTTGCACCCCCTCAGCGCAATTAGTGAATTCAAAACAAAATTAGCCATTAAGAGTTTGTATACGAGTAATTTAAGGTCTAAAATAGATGAATTGTCCTAATTTAAAAATAAGAAGAAAAAAAAATTCCTCTCTCTCTCATATGAAAATTTATGGTTACGGGGCTAAATATGGCCATGATTACAAAGAATCATCGAAAAAAAATATAAATGCAGGAATGGTCACTATTGCACAAACTAAATTAAAATCGAATTGTAATTGCAATAAAAACAATTTGCGAATATGTGAAATTGTTGTGGCGATTTTAGCAACATCTGTTTTTTGTACTTAAATTTTTTTCAACGCATTTTCTTATCGAAATTGTATTTTCAGTATGCTTAGACTTAGAGTAAACTTATTCTGAAAATTTCAAATCCATTTGTATTTTTGTAATATATTTTTACCGTTAACGTTGAACGAGGCGGCTCTTTGAATCAAACCTTGCATGGATGGCATTGAAAATCTTTGAGAAATTTCTATTTATTTTAAACGTTTATTTTTTTAAATTAGTCTTTTTAAAAAATATGTATGGGAGACTTAAGATAAATCGGGGGTGAATGGCCACACCATCCTCTTAACTTCTTATCTATTGAATAAATTTGTCAAGAAATTTCACCAAATGTACATGGCTATACCATATACCCTATTTATTTTCATTAAAGCGATTAATTAGCCCAATAAAAAAAAGTAATTGTAAAAAAACGTTTTTGGTACTCCGTTGAACCGAAATCATTACTTACTATCAAATTTTTTAATATTTTATATAAGTAGATATCCTCACAATCGGAATTTAAATATTTGCATATAAGGGGCCATTTTATAATTATAAATAGAAAGATAATAAGTATCGAAACAAAGCAAATAATATCGTTTCGAGTTCAGGTTTAGATATAAATAAGGGTTCAAGCTTGGTTTAGATAAGTTTATAAATATATTATATATCTTTATAGTTCATGATTATTATAAATTATTTAAATGTAATAGTATGGCCATACAACACCGGGTATAAAATAGGTTAATGTTTGAACTACACGTATTAAATCTCTGGTCTCCTCTGTTCCCAAAACTTTGTTCGGTTTTGTTCTAATTTTGCAGCCCGGTTAAATTTTATTTTTACCAAATTAGGTCTAATTTTCAAAAAAAAATTGATTAATCAGCCCCATCTTACTAACCTTATTTAATTATTAATATAAATTACGATTTAATAATGTTGTAAAAGGAATAATACCTATCTTATTCTATATTTTAAAAAAAATATAGTAATTCTTAAGTTATTTATCGTATTATGTAAGAGGTATATGCTCAAATTAAAATACTTCTAGTTTTAGCGATGATGGACCCGGATTTAGCGCTATATCCAAATACGTTAACAGCTTGAACTTGAAACAGATATTCGGTATCAGGATCTAAGTCTATTATGAGCCCGGAAGTGGAATCCATTTTCACTGAATCATAGGATTCCGGTGAAATGAATGAGTTGTCGACACCCAACGAGAAAGACTTCTGTATGTCGGATAATGTATAGCTTTTCGAATACCTGATTTTTAATTTTTTAAATATATACATGTTTTATCAAAATCTTTTAAAATTTCCCCGCTTTCCCTAATATCGAGGATTAGTGTTAAGATATCAGATTATATAAAAATATCCTTATAATTGTACATCTAATCAATTTCTAATACGGTTTTAGTTTACCAAACAATGTAGCTGGCGGGGCTTCCCCCATCGTACCCCGGTGTCCAGGTTACATAAGCCCCGTAGATACTTGGCCTCACGGAAAGGTTAAAAGGTGAATGTGGAGAGGTATCTTTAATTTTTTTTTTTTTAAATATATAAGATTGCTAGAAAAATATTTTATTTATTCCTCTCAGCCAAAAAAAATAAATTAAATGTTTAAAAATAGTTGACTAATATTGTTTCAAAATTGGTTCATTAATTAACAAATATTTTGATATTCAATTTGTATTTAGAAAGATTAACTAACTTGAAACCATAATATCGGCAAACAAGGTTATGCTGGCGACCTTATTAGAAGCTCTGCATAAGAGACGCCCATGATCTTCTTTCTGAACTGAAGTTATGGTTAGATTTCCCGCTGAAAAGAAGGTTCTGCCCATAGGCAAATCGGAACCACTTTCCTTTATATATTTATAATTTTTGATAAATATATATAACTAGTAGATAGCCCGTAGAAAATTTAAATATAAGCATTGGTCCTTTTTAAAGGGGAATTAGTGTCTTTTTTTTAGCTTTGTTTTTATAGGTAAGAGTATAAAATATAATATGGAAAAATTTTAATTTTTAGTTATATTATAAAGATTAATGCTTTTTGTACAATAAAGACAAGAGACTATATTTATTTTTATGAAGGGGGGGGGGGGGTGGTAAACAAATTTAAAAATGTCCTTTTCTGGGAGTATTTTGTTTCGGAGATTTATATGGGTATAGTAGCTACAGCTGCTTACTATAAGCCATGGGCAGACTTGGGGAGGTTTCTAATGAAAAACATCTTCTAGCACAGCATCAGTGATATCGATCTCTGACAAATCTTCCTGTTTTTTCCCTACAGTGGCGAGCGCCTCTTTTAACGGGCTATTGAAATAGGGATTACTATAATCGAATTGATTGTTGCCTATTGTGTCGGCCATTCCTCGCTCGTACTGTAGACCCTAGAGGGCAACAATCACGGAAATGGTCCCTCGAATGGCAATGATAGCATTTTCCCTCAAATCTTGGGACAACTATTGGTAATATTCTGAGATAATGCAACTCAGAATTCATATTCCCATTCTGGCATTTCTGGAAAATGCTAATCCTGGGTCGCAAATTAAAGAAATAAAGTTATAGGAGGATGGAAGGAAAAAAATTTGATTAAAAAAAAATATAGGAAAAAAGCGTATTAGGGGGGTTAAATGAGCGATTGCAAGGTGAGGGAAGGAGTGTAAAAGTTGGTGGGTATAATATTTTGAAGAAAGACAGGGGTGATTAAAAGATTATAAAGTAGATATTTGAAGGAGGGGTGTCTTAATTTCTTTCGAAGAAAATTTAGGCGCGTTTGTCCAGAGGCAAGGAAGAAACCAGTTGAGGACATGCTATTATTGCCATTCGATGGATCATTTACAAATCGATGCCCTCTATGGCCAACATTACGAGGGATGAATGACTGACACAAGGAACGACCAATACAATTTATAGTGCACTGTTTGAAATGCGTTGGATCCCATGGTAACAATTCGAGGAACTTGTTGGAGCCGCCCACGCTGAACGATTGGCCGGAAATGGATATTACCATAGAGGAATTAATGGGTAATAATGATGAAAATTCTGCTTCTGGGTTTTAAAAAAAATGGGGTGTTAGACGTTAGATTATATCGATGTTCTTTTTAAACTGTATTATTTTATTATATCAACATATATAATATTATTTTGGAGTGAAGGGGGAGGGGGGGGGGTATTTAAATCGGAAAAAAAAGGAATTTGAAGTTTGGGATTTTCATACTCCCTTTCATAAAGTGGACTCATTTAGAGGTGTCAAATGCCATTCAAAAATATTGATCGTAATTTTTTTTTAATATTAGACAGGACAAAATTTATAATTTTTCTTAAATTACCCTCATCCACAAAACTAAAGGATTGGGATTGCCAATCGCTGAACAAGGTAATGTCAAAGATTCGCCAGCTCTAATGTTATAAATGAAATTTGGTGTGTGAACGAATAGAGGAGGATCTTAAGATATATTTTTTTTGTCATTATTGTAAATATATAAATAAAAATCGAAAATGAGATGTTTATTTTCCCTTTTATGGGAATTTTAGGTCCCATCTGTATTTCAAACTATTCTCATTAGCATAGTTATATTTTTTTTTAAAAAATAGGAAGATCCATGAGGTTCAAATTCATTATTTTTAAGATTAATATCCCTATAAAAGAATTAAATTTTCATTATATATATTTACCTTTAACCAAGACCTTGAACTCTTTGGAAGGTCCAGAGGTCCCGATCTTATTGTATGGAGTACAGCTATACATACCTTCGTGAACGGAAGGGTCCACACTTTCTAACCATAAAGAACCATTCACCAATATCTCGAAATGGGACAAGCTTTTGTAATTTCCAATGTAATTATTTTTAAATTTCTTAGCAACATCCCTTCCTTCTTCCCCATTTTTGTGGTATTCGATCTCATTCCCAGTGTTACTATCATATCTATCACGTTCTTGATTTGGTCTTGGGTTGGCATAAGAGGCATAATCTAAAACCTTCCCATCCTTGGACCATATAACAAATTGCAAAGGAGGGTTCGAATCGATGGGACACTTAATGATGCCGGACATGTTGCGGGGTATGTATTGAGGATTTTGCAGGCGGTTTTGGGATATCGTCGCTGGGTCTAATTTTTATTTAAGTTGAATTTTAATGTATAACTACGAACCATATTTTTTTAACTTTATTATATATAATAGTATTAGAAATACATTTAATTTGTTAGCTTCCGTTAATAATGCTTTAAGTACGTCTTGTATGTTACAGTTAATATACAAACGTAGCTATTATATTAACTATACAGAAGTTTCGAACTAGCTAACTGGTTCACAAACTGCTAGAAGCTTAGCAAGTTTAAGTACTAGCCAGAGTCTTGCTTAGCTAGAAAAATTAGCTTGTTTTTAAACTAGTTAGAAGCTGCGCTAGTTTAAAAAAGCTAGCTTAGCTTGTTTAAATTAGTTAGTTTACAAACTAAATAGCTAATTTTTATTTTATGAACTTTTCTCAAGGTTAAGGGGTATTTTACAATTTTGGACTTTCCCGTTATTTTCCCATTTGTCTACTTTTTGTATTTTTACAATCCCTCTATAATTATTTTGATTTTTTTTTATAAATTTATTTCCCTTTCATTTCGGTCAATTTTACATCTCTATCTCCCATTTCTAAAATTCTAATCTAATCTTTCTAAATTTTCGGTTACATTTATATCTTTTAAAAGTATTTTATAAAGCTCAAACCTTTTTTTCCGTCTAATTTTACATTTTTCCAACTATTTTTGAGTAAAGGGTTTAGCATGATATATCTTAATTTTTACCTGATCTTGTGTATTTCAAAATTTTGAGTTTATTTATTATTTTTTAGATTTTTTTTCCCTCCCTTTCTGTCTACTTCCATATAGAAAGAAAGAAAGAAAGAAAGAAAGAAAGAAAGAAAGAAAGAAAAAGAAGAAAGAAAGAAAGAAAGAAAGAAAGAAAGAAAGAAAGAAAGAAAGAAAGAAAGAAAGAAAGAAAGAAAGAAAGAAAGAAAGAAAGAAAGAAAGAAAGAAAGAAAGAAAGAAAGAAAGAAAGAAAGAAAGAAAGATTTATATTTATAATAATGAAACAAAAACTCCTCAATTATACATAAGGAGATATAAAAAGAAGGAAGATGTGTAATTTTCTTCCTTACATTGTATGTTTAGATAGGCGGAGGCGTAGGGTCTGGGGGAGTTTTTGTTATCGGGAGAGCAGGTATAGGTACCAGAATCGGTTTTTTTCGTCGGATTGATAGTTAAAGAACCCGAGTAAGCTGAAATGGAGAATCGCGAGGAAAAGTCTTGCAACGAAGTCATAAGGATCCCATCTGATGCGATTTTTTTAAAATTGATTTATAAAATATTTTTTTAGTATAATCTATTTCCATTTTATATTATAGAAATGTAACTTTCGCGCCAAAAACACGTAAGAACTAAATTAACTCCATCAAAAATACAGAATATTTCTAATATATTTAGATATACGTTTTTCTAAAGCAACTTCCTAAAAGACAGGTTATCTTTTGTTTAAACATCTTTTTAAACTAGTATTGTTAAAGGGCTCTTTTTTAAAAATGGCTAACCCAATATTTTAGCGAAAAAATAAGACACAAACCTTGAAATTTAGTTAATAGAATCCAAATATTTCTACCTCTTCTATGAGCAAAATCTCCAGACTTGCCTAATATCTTTAGCTAAAATAGTGAGTTAGTCGTTTTTAAAAAACGAGCCGTTTAACAATACCATTTTTAACTGTAAAAAAACACAGCTTAAGACTATATGTTTTTTTCAAAGGGAGTCTTCCTATGCAGATTTTGATTTTTATAAACTATTAAATGGTTACTTAGATACCAGAGTCGCCTTTTGCGTCGATATGCTCAATTTTACAGCTTGCAAAGACCCTGGTATTATAATTTTTAAGAATAATAAAAAAAATACTGTTCTTTTTCAACACTAAATAGATGAAGTCAAGACACTATATTAATGTTTTTAGTAAAATAACACTATGTAAGTATAAAAATAGCTGCGTACAACATAATATAATATTCTCTTGATTATTATATGGTTCTAACTCCCTTCGAATAAATTTGTAAAGGAGAACAATTTTTTTAAACCCAATATTCTGTATTTAAGGCATTAAGTTTTTATATTTTATCTTTTTTTTAGGAATATATAAAAATTAATGTATAGGGGATTGTGGATATCTCCCAGCGTCTTCACGAGAGTGAAAAAAAGATGGGGGCACCAAGTCCGTATTTAAGTACCAAAATATGTTTTATACCCTACGACCCCGTGACCATTAAGAGATTGATACCTTCTATGGATTAAACTTTGCCAAAAAAGCAATTATTAGAACCTTATCATCTGCACAGAAACATTCGCAATTTAACGAAGAAACAAATTATATATACCATTATACATATTGTCTAAATTTCGAGAATTCGTCAAACATTTTTACCATCTTATAAGAGAATCTCAAGGCATAGGCACTGTTTGTTTGGCTAAAACCTTGATTTAGTCGTTTTTAAAAAAAAATCGGCCAAGCTTTTATTTAACAACACTTCCCGAAATTGATTTTAATAGAATTAAAAACGTTACGACAACCATAATTTCATGAATTTGGGAATTTCAATGAATATCATATAAAAATGTCATATTAATCAATTATTACAATTCTATGAATGTTTAAGGGGTGGTTTATAAATATTTAATAATAAAACAAGTAATAGTAAAATAAATCTTTAAATTATCAAATTATATATAAAACAGTTTATACTTTAATTATTAAGCTCACATTGGGCTGATATATATTAAATCCACTTAAACCTAGAAGCAAGCTCGTAAGCTTAATATTGTGCAATCAAAGATCGAGACCAATTATTTACTCTTATTTTATGGCTTGTTAAGTAGTTAAAGTAAATTATATGCCTATAACTATAGTAGATTTTTGTGATTTGATCGATTAATAAAGATAATATAAGTTTCCAAAAATAAGAACAAAACCTTTGTACCAATCGTAGGAAACGTTATTTGGGAACGATTTAACTTTGCATTCGAATTTAGCGCTCAAACCTTCTAAGGTAGTCATATTTTTAGGCGGGGAAACTATTTGCGGTGGTTCTGGAGTGATGAGAGAAAAAAAATATATAAAGTATATAATAAAAAAAAATTAATAAAGTATTTATTTGTAGGTTTATTTAAAAAAAATATCAAAATAAATATTCTTTTTAAAAATATTAAGAAATAAAGATAATATGTAACTAGAAAAATATGACTCTGACTACTTTACCTATCTTATTTTATGATAATTATGTGTTGAAACAAAGCATAAAATCTCAACACACCATCCAAAGAATACCAATTAATTTGCCTACTAAAATTAATATAACTCAAATTTGGAATTTGTGTGTTGTGATTAAATAACATGCAAAATAATTTATTTTAAACCTTTTCAACTAGTGATTGTTTATTTAACAAATGCATTCATTATAACATTCATGAGAGTTTATCTTCACAATTTTGTATTTTCGAAAGCTAATTTTTTTTTTGATTGTTATTTTTACCTGCTATAATAAGTTTCACAGCCATAAAATCTATACCACGTTTATTCTTGGCTACGCAGGTGTAAGTGGCGCCTTCGTGGGCCTTAGTAATTACGGGTATAGTCAAAGTGGAACTAGAGTAACTCATACTATCCAATAACCCCATCTCAGATTTTTCCAAAACATCCTTAGAATTTATGATCCTCGAAGCTGAGAGTAAGGAATGTCGGTTGAAATCTATATCCGGTCCTTTGTCGGTCCTAACCCAGTAAACATCAGGCGCTGGCACCCCTGTTGCATTGCAGCTCATAGCGATGTCCTGTTGATTCAAGCTAGTGTAAATGTGAGAAGGAGAAGACTCACTGACCATAATTTTGGGCTTAGCTAGTTCAAAAAAATATTTAGTTAATTCTTTTTTTAAATATATAATTCTTTTTTTTAACTTAAGACAGATCCCAAATAAATCATATCAACATTTAGGATATTCTTTCTTTCTTTCTTTCTATAAAAATTCTATTACAAAATTTAGTGTACTACAATCATTAATATTTGCATACATTGGATGGATAGTCTAACGAAACTCGTTTGCCCTCGCGTTTCTGCTGGTTTTTTCAGGTATATTATCTTTTAATTTTGTATACAAAATTTAAATATAAATTTATAATATAACTAAATCCATCTTAAAATTTTTATTCTAAACAGCTAAAAAAAAAATTAAAACATTCTCATAATACAATTATAACTAAGAATAAATAGCAATTAGAGCAATTTTAGCTAATTTCATTAAACTCATAAAATAATATGTGAATTCCCTCTACTTACTCACCCAAAGATCCCAATTTACCTTCTTTCAAAAAAATGAATTTTAATTTATATTAATAGTTTTGTACAACTAATTTTAACATCCTTTAAATAATTATCAAAAATTTTTATCTTATTTTGGAAATGGGTATAATAAAAAAGATTAATTTTTTAAAAACTAAAATTGGGTTCGGGCTGGGTCTGGCCTAAAATTCTTTAATATTATTGGGACCTGGTCGGGTCTTAGAAATTTTTTTAAATATATCTAAATTTATCAATTTTTTGTTGAATTTTTTATGTAAAAACGAAAACATTTAATATTATTTTATAGAAACTAGATTGCCATATAACATATATCGTTTATTTTGAGTAATTATAAAAATTAAGTTTTATATTTAAATATATTCGGGCCGGGCCGGCAAATTTTTTCAAAAATAATTTCGGGTTTAGGCCGAGCCGGCAAAACTTTTTAAAAAAAAATTCGGGCCGGGCCAGGCCTGAAAAATTAGGCCCGATAGATCACTAATATAAACATTTGATTTGAGAAAATAGGAAAATAAATATAATCCCTGTCGTCCTTATATATATGTTGAAAAAGGTATAACCAGTTTACATGATCAACTTATACAAATTATCTTCAAAGAGGTCATAAATTTAAAAAAAAAAATTAAAACCCCCCCAAAAAACTAATATTTTGAATTATTCAACTCGTAACCGATTTTATTTATGAATACGAATATATATTCGTAACCGACGAATACTAATTATCAATTATTCGATTTAAATCTTCATTTTAAAATAACATTCTACCATTTTTTTTAAAATTAAAATATTTCTTACAGTCTTTTTTTTTATCACTCATAATTTCTTTTCTTTTGTAATATCGTCAAATTAATTGATTCTTTTAAGTAGTGTTGTTAAATGGCTCATTTTGAGCCGATTTTTTATAATGGGTAACTCAAAATTTTTGGTCTATACCTCAAGATTTCGATAATATATGTCTAGACCTTTGTTCCTTCTATGAGCATCCATCTTCGGACTTGTTTAATATGTTTCTGGCTGAAATATTGAGTTAGCCGTTTTTAAAAATCTGCTCAAAACGAGCCGTTTAACAACACTACTTTTAAGTGTAAACGGCTAATACAATAATTTAGCAAAAAAAAATTGCAAGCTTCGAGATTTCCTTAATAGATGTCCAAACCTTTCTGTCATCTATGAGCAAAATCTTGGGTAAGGCCGAACAGCGCGTTTACTATAAATGGAGATATAATCCTGAGGTATCAAAATTGGGAAGAGATAATATTTTTTTTTGCATTTATAACATATAGCCCTCTTTTTGCTATCATTCATAGCTCATATAAAATTCACATATTATTGCTGTATTTCGTTCTTTTATTAGATATAGATGATTGTTTTTGTTCACTATCGTTTCCAGTATCATCAGTTATATTTATATCTACTAACATTATTAGGTCTTCATTTATAAGATCCTAAATGAATAGAAAACAAATTGATATCGTGTAAAAATTATACTTAATAATAATCTTTTTTTTTTTAAATGGAGCCGTTTTATAACACTAGATTCTTTTAATTAGAAGATCGAAATCTAATGATATTATCCTCATTCGACGAATAGGAATAATACAATATTTTATGAATTCCAGTTTCTACTTTATATCAAGTAAATAAATATGACACTAAAAAAATTACTTTTATAAGGTAGAGAATATTGAACTGCCAGTTTTTAGACCTATCTTACAGTTTAAATTGCGATAGTTATAATTCCTAATACACGTAATTTCGATTCAATTATTTTATTCAATTATTTTTATCCTGGTTAAGTTAATTTTTTTTCGTAAATATTTTTTTAGGCCCGAGTCCACTCCAAAATTTTAAAAGCGTAAAAAAAATATATAAATTGAACACATTTTTATAAAATTAAATTTATAGATTTACTAATTGCTTTGTCAATATAAAAATTCTCATTTTCATTTCAATTTTAAAGAATTTGGCAATATTAATTGCTATTTTTTTTTTTAAACTATTAGTCCGGCGAGCAGAGCTCAATTTCATAATTAAACTTTAGAAACGATTAAACACATTTCTAAACAAATATCAAAAATCGCTATATCAAATAATTAATTATATATAAATGTAATCATCGACACAAATATTACACATATTCTTCCTAAGAATAATACGGCAATAGGAATTTTTTAATGGTTTATAAGCAATATCAAAAAAATAAAAGCACATATAAAATCCCCATTCTCAAAGTTTTATATTTAACAAATTAACGTCGGTTGTTGAAATATTAAATTATATGTTTATTTTACTTTATTCTATACATTCCAAACTACATCATTTTATATAAGATAATCTGAAAAGAATTATTAAATATTAAAACATAAATCGTTAATATTGGCACCATGGAAGACACTCATTAAAATTCACCTCCCCTTGTTTGGTAGATGATAGATATAAAATATTATGACAATTTTTAATGAATCACGATATGACTTAAAATTTGGTATATTAAATATAATAATATATAATACATAATACTTTAAAAAGTGTTATTTAAAAGAAAAGTAAACTTTTTTGACTTATGTGTATAATTATTATATGTATGTACAAGGATATTAGACTTTATATTAGTTGATAGATAGCTTAGATTTGTTAAACTACTAATAAATCGTCAAAGAAATGTAGTATTTTTTACAACAATATGTCAAAAACATTTATGTATAAAAAATATCTCGAAAGGATTTTTTAGAAAATTTTAAGATCAGAATGTTTTCTACTAGATAATTAAGTTATATATAAATATTCTATGTTTTATATATAAAACTAGAAATGATCAATAACGTGTATAATACCGTTTTAGTAAGTTATATTCAATATAATTTGCAGGGAAACTTTTTAAATCTTGTTTAAATTTTTAACCTGTTTGGTCGACATATCCCAAATTTCAATAAAATATTAAGTGTACCATTAATTAATACTATCAAAATATCATTTGACCATCATAAAATGTACTACTGCCTAATTTTTAATTTGCATGTAGAGAGAGGGGAGAAGTGGTATATAATGGTATTAAAATTATACCGTTTAGTATTGTATTCTTATATATGTTAAAGAGTGTTAACTACGGTCTACGGGAAAGAGGGGGTAGTGTGCCTTTCTACCATTAATAACTATTCCTTTACCAACAAAAGTTTGGCAAATTTTTTATCCATTAGATATTAGAGATCTACAATGGACGGTTTTTAATCCGGTTTAAAATTTTTAAGCATTAGTTGGGTGCGCGGGTAAATTTAATTATTAAAAAAAAATTTTTTTTTTTGTTAGTTCATAATATTGTATATTTTATCAGTTTAAAAATTAAAAGTATTAAAATAAAATAAATATAAGGTATAACCAACCAATCAAATTATTTTAAAAAATTGGAGGAGGGGGGGGGGAGGAAGGGTTTTAGGTTATAAATTATTTAAAAACAATGGGTGGGCTCGAGTTAAATGGCCAGTGCAGACTAGATATAATATATCTTGACAAAACGTTGTATCCTTCCCCTCATATGCCTATATTTTAGGAAAACGCAATGTTTTTATATGACCCAAAAGCATATAATTATATACAAATTTTCAAAATGAAATTTCTCCAGTCCTCTCACTCCTCTTATACTAAAAATTGCTGATTATAGTCCTGGTCAACTAGATTATTTCCGTTCAAACCTTTAAAATTAAAAAAGAAAATAAATTATTTATAAGCCGAAAAGTCCATTTTTTAAGGCTTTAAAGTTCAAAGTCGATTCTACCTATAAATAAATTTTATTATAGTATATGTTAATTTATATAGATTCTACACAATATTATGTAATATATTATGACAAAATTTAGCGAGAATGATGAATTACATAAATTAAAACTAAAACTAAAACACAATACCCATCCTTCCTTCCTCTTATTTAATCCCCTGTAAATTCACAACACAATTTATGATAATAATGTAATATGATGATATATTATAATGTAGTTATAATGTATAATATATATGTTCATTTTTTGGTTGATATGATATTATATTTAAATTCATAGATAAAGTGATAAAGTCTATGATTATATTATATTACATTATAAATAATAATCATTTTTACTCATTCATTCACTCAACACCACTTGCAAGTCATATACATAATACTAAAAAAACGTTATAAAAATATAATGTATGTATTTAAAAAACAAATATAAAAAGTATAAAAATGAATTATTGATTTAATGAGAAAACGTAAGGACAAAATAAAAAGGAAGACAGATTTTTGAGTAATGGATTTCAACTATATTACATGGCTTGACTAAAATAGTAAATATATTCGGATTATATATATTTTGGGTCGTCTAGGGTGGGGGGATTAATTTTTTTAAAATTTATTGTGAGCATTAAGAAAAAATCCAGTGTTCCAAGTTGATTAAAATCTTCTATAGTGGCCATAAACCCCCTTTTGAAATAAAGGGCGAAGTTATCGTCCTCTGTAAATTTGGCACCTTTTTTTATCTATGCCCGGCCGGGTAATTCAAGTGATATACAAATTATTTTATCATAACCTAAATATGATTATATTAGAAAAAATTTGAATAAATTCAGTTAAATTGATACGAAATTTCTTTTTTGTAACATTTTGGGTTATCGGGTTAAATCGCGTTCAATACATTTTTTTCTACGCCTCTTGGGCTGAATCATCTCAGCGAAGAAAACCTCGAAGCTGAGGTGATGGTTCTTTAGCTATAAAGTCCGTTTAACCGCTTTCGGAATCGGTTAACGGC